CTTGCTGGTTTGCCACCTTAAATTATAAAAAAAAACTGACTAAATATATTTTAATAATAGCCAAAGGTCAATCATCCTTCTTAAAGATAGTCTTCAAAGAAATATGTTCACTGGGAACTTTCTTACCTCGAGTTAGTAGGAATAGGAAACCCGTCAAGCGTCCATGAGAACTGTGGTGGAGGATGTCCCATGGCGACACACTTCAGAGACACGCTGGGCCCGGGCTGCAGGGTCTGCTCCGAAAACCAATACACCAGCTCCGGCTTGGATTCTGAGAAGAAACAACTGGTTTATAGCATACAGAATAATACCATCAAAACTAAGAGCCTGGCACAAGTTTGCGAAATATTCGTAACGACATCGACAAAAATTGTATAACATTTGTGTATACTTCTGTCCGATCGGGGGTAGTACAAATCACACACAAATTTTGTCAACAGTTATACTTGTCTGTGTATAATAATAATCTTATTCTTCGTCAAAGGCGATATGAATGCTTTTACGGAAATTTTCATGCTACCCACTTGACACAAAAACGCTGGGGAAGACAACAAATCGAAAGTTCGAAGAATACTCTGTTGTCTGTTGCTTCCAGTCGAGAAAAAGTTTGTTAAACACGAACAAAAAGAAAAATCCCTTTATAATACTAACATGAACATGAGGAATAGATACGAGCTGTTACTGGCGGCTTCGTCCCCGTTAAATAAAAAAAAATGAAAAATATAGCCTATGTTACTTACTGATAATGTAACTTTTAAATGGTAAAAGAATATTTAAAATCGGCCAATAGTTTTTGAGTTAATTCAATACATACGAAAATACAAATCTTTACTCTATGTAATTTTTGTATAGATAAACGTAGTAGTTATGAAAGCAACATAGGGGCATTATATTCACAAAGTGTATCCCGCGGCATAAAACGGTTACAGACAGAATCTTTATAAAAATAAAAAAATAAAAACAAACGAATAATTCGCTGCCAGCCTCTACACAGACTGTTTCTCTCTCTGTTTTACACAACAATGTCCTTTTGTTATTTATATCTATACGAAGTATTACTTTCTGTTTGAAATATTTTATATTACGCGAACTCATAAATATTATGAAAATATTTACGAGTTTCTGTTTAATGTAAACATTTTCAATTTATTGAAATACTAATATAAATTTAGGGTTTTATCGGTCGAACAATTATAGTCCTTTTCAACTTAGGATCGATTGAAGTACGAACTGTTACCATAAGTCTATAAAAGGTTTTTATAATGTAATACGTCTGTTGCTGTCCAGCTTTAGAACAAATTGCATTTTACCGAAATGGGTAGCCGGTTGTTCATCTTTGAATGTACCAGCATTAGTTATGACATAAATGTACTCTAATTGTACTTATAAGTACGACAGTATTCTAATAATATAGCAGTATAGAGATAAAATACGTATTATGCTGCTTGCTGCAACGACCGTGTACTTTCCATCGGCTTCTCTTATTAAGCCGAGCACAAAACAAACGCACCAAATACGAGGGACGTTATAATAATGGGACAAAGCGGCATATTTCATCGCGGGCACGAGTAAAATGGACTTTATGGTCAACGAGATATGATCTTAATTTAAGAATTTACAGGTTTAGTATTAAGTAGAGGAAAGTCGATGCGCCCCCGGCGAGCTAGTCTGCGTCACTGGAGCTTTTTGTTTGAGTTGAACGAGCTACCTCTAATAGCTTGCTGCGGATCACAACTATATGTAGCTGCTCTTTGAATTATGGTATTAAATATTACTTAAGAGAAATTTAGAAGGTAAAAGTCTTCTCTAAAATTTAAACACAATAATACGAAGCTTCAAACTATAGAAATTAAAAAAGCAGATACTTCTAAATTATTTTAGTTACTTTGCAACGACAATAATGAGGATTACATCTTTTATTTATTAAAAATATTTTTATATGTTTGCTAGGATATTCACGACAATAGTCGAATGGCGGGATTCGAACCCTCGACCGCAAGATCAGTAGTAACCCCAAACCATTAGGCTATTGGCGCTTAAGTTATTGACTTTAAAATAGTATAAGTGTAAAAGTTACCTCTGTTTCCAGTGAAGTTCCAGTCTGCGGTATCATGTACGTGCGCGCTGCGGGCGTGAGGCGTCCGCCGCGACCGATTGCCCACACCGAGCACACGACTTTCTGACTCTGAAAGAATAATTTAATTTGTCTAATTTCTTTGCATTCATCATTAATGTATAACATAAAGACCTCTTCTTGCATGCTTGCTGAGCAAGAGTGTTACATAAATTGCTAGCTTTTGCTTGCGACTTCGCCCGCGTGAAATTAAAATGTAATACAAAATATAGCCTATGTTACTCACAGTTAGATTACCTTTCTAAAGGTGAAATAATTTTTAAAATTGGCCCAGTAGTTAGAGTGAATTAAATACATACAAAAATACAAATCTTTCCACTTTATAATATTAGAATAGAAGTATAGATAACCGTGAACAACTGGCCTAGAAAGTGGAGAAGTTGTACAACAGCATTATCATAGAAGTTAATTATATGCAACATTGATAAATTTATCTTAAAATTATGTTTTGCTAACACATTTATGCCGCATCGTTGGCACTGAAAATGACAAAAGAAACTTACGATCAATCGAATATTCCGATATGCCGTACGCTTGATCCCGCATATTGCTTGCAAAGCACTGATAAACGCCCTCATCGTTTGCCTGTGTGTTCTTGATATGTATCCTAAAGCCGTCTTCTGATATCCTCACTCTGTCGCACGATTTGACAACTTTAGAGTTGTGTAACCAGTAAACTATTTCTATCGGATGTCCTGATACTTTGCAGTCGAAAGTTATGTTCGTGTTCGGCTTTGTTCGGATCACTTCGGGTTTTACACGGACGGAGATTGGTTCTGTAACAAAGAGACTGATTTACGCCTTCAAGTATAGACGATGAACTGAGAAATACAAAATGCCAGCGTTAGGTAGGGACGGAGGGAAAGGAGCGCAAAAATCATCTAATTAACATTGTCATCATCATCATTAACTTTTCCTTGTTCCTACGGAGGGACGGTACAGTACGTGCTGCTCTTTATACATTTCTATCAGCCGTGATATCTGAATCCATTCCTTAAGCATATCCTTTTTCACACAAACCATCCATACTTTCGGTCTTCCTCTACCTTTGTAGCCATCCAACATATTACACATTCTCACAACATAAGCAAATTAAACTCCTCTCTCCAGAGCTAAATGCAGTTGAAACTCAGGGTTAGTTTGATAGTAAAATTAAGCGTTTTTCACACAGTAAAATTGAAGATTAAATTATGGATTACCTGTTACTATGAGAGTAAAACGTAAAGCTTCTTCACCAGCTGTGTTATTAAGGTAGCATACAAATCTTCCAGCATCCTCTCTTCTAACCTTCTGTATGCTTAGTAGACCGCCCCCAAGCAGTACCGCTCTTTGCCAAACAGACGATTTCTCTAGCGGTATCAACTGTTCGTGATGCTCGCGAAACCACCTGCGAACATTTTATACGTTAACTCCTATTTTGAATTTAGAATTAATAACGGATTGGATTAATTTCTTTAAAAACAAAAGACATACTACTAATTAACCGTTGTTTTAAATAAAACCAGCTTTCGCCCGCGACTCCGTCCTCGTGGAATAAAAAAAACAAAAGTGAGTAGCCTACGTGTTCTTCCACACTATCCTCGACATCTATGCCAAATTTCATCGAAATCCGTTCAGCAACTTAGGCTACAAACTCTAACAAACATCCATCCGTCCATCTAAACTTTCGCATTTATAATATTAGTATGAAGTATGATATGATAGAGACTGAAATATTCTAAGTACTTCTATGAGATGATTGCCAATTGTTTTTGCAAATAAAATTAAATCATTATTTTAAATGTTTTTTTTTTTTCAATATTAATGGTACGCAGATTTTGAACATAGATTTCATGATCATAATGGATAAGCGAGAGTGTAAAACTTTAGTTTATAGACTGTTAAAATATTTAAATATAATAAAATTAAACGGGAATAAAGGTTGCTCATTTTCTCGATATCATAGTCTTTGTGTGAGTCGACAGTTACGTAGGAATGCAAAGAGGTGAACGCCCTCCTAGCCACGGTCTCTGAAAGTTCTTTAGAATGCAAATTTCTCGCTGCATTTCAGCCCCTTTTCAAAACTAATTGCAAAAAATCCAACTGAAAGCGTATTACGTAAATCGTTCATCACATTCATAAAATTTCCTCTCGGAATATTATACAGAGAGCGAACTGAATGATTACATGACGTATTCATTAAGTAAATGTTACGTGTAACATAATTAAATGCAATGCAATGATTGTAACATTACAGGAGAACATACTGTTAAGAGCATATACCTCCCATCCCTATCTGACTGCTGTCAATGTCATTCAGACGTATTGGAATAGCGCACCATTCTGGCGGAATCAGTACCTCTGAGTATTTAAGTTAATTACGTTGTTACAATTATATTAATGTCCTTTGCGCCTAGTGTAATTATTTGATGCTCAAAGAGAAAGTAATACAATAAAAAAGAAATTCAACTGTCTAACACCTAGTATACCAGCTGAGCATATATGTACAATCGGGGAAATTGACGGTATTCCACCCTAGACTCTATATGATTTCGAACATTTTCAAATGAAACGCAGAACTAAAATACAATACAGCTAATAAATGTGCCTGTACCCAAATCGTCGGTTAGTGATACACCGCTAATTTTTTTTAATTATTTCCCCTTCGCTTGCACCACTTACTACTACCTAATTAGTAATTTGTAGAAAGAGGCGGAGTTGTGTCGTTTCAATGAACAAGGAATTTTTTCCTGAAGTGAAACACTGCGGATTGTCGAGACTGTACATTGCCAAGGTCACGAAAAATGTAAGATGTAAGGACTAGTAAGGTAATTTAACTGATAGAGGATGATCACTTTAGTAATCTATACTATTATAATGAAGTGTAAACACACATTTCTTTGTTGCCTAAGATGTCAGCAATTACAGCATATTTTAGAATAATCTTTTTTTTTTTAATAAAAAGCCCTATACTTACGTCATGCTTTAAGCTATATATTTTCACGCCTTTAAGTATTTTGAATAAAAACCCTAATGTGGAAAAGAGACCATAAGCTACGAGTTGTCAACATCAAGGAAGCAAGGTTGTCATTTATGCATTTGAATTTTGACATTTGACAAATGTAAACAATAAAATAAAGTTTTTATAATTTC